CTGTAACCAAAAAATATATAATATTTTTTTATTATTATTATTATAATTTAGTTGATATCACTACCCAAGAAAAAAATCTATCTTTGTGGTAGATTTTAAATTCGACTGTATATTCATTTTTTATTTCGAATCTATATCATATGTATATTCGATTTTCAAAAATGTTGCTATAGAAAATGAAAATAGAAAGCCACAAGTACGATAAAATATATGGTTTTATATGCTGCCATTAACCACTTCCATTCCAAAAAAATTTGAATCCTAATCAGAAAAAATTTGTTTAGGGCATAGAGTTCTATAGAGTTCGGAGAAATTTATGAAATAGTTTTTGAGGTTTTTTCTATTTTAGACAAACAATTTGAAAACCACTTTCTTTTCAAAAAAATATTTTTTATTAAGAAAAACCTCAAAATTATATTTTGGAAAATATAATTTGAAAAATATATTTAATAAGTCGTTTTATATAGTGGTTTGATTTTTTTCATTTATCTAAAAGTAATTGTACCAAAATGTGGTCTGATTTTAAAATTTGTTTCTATGGGGTTCGTGGTTCATTCGTAGATTTATTAAAAATATTTTTTGTCAATCGTAGAAGTTTCCCTCTTCAAGTGCGTCCCTCTTCAATGTAATCGACACCAAAAAAAAATTATTTCTTTCAAAAGAAATTCTGAATTTTTTCAATATTCATAAACTGTAAGTTGAAACCAACGCATGCCAAAAATGTGCTCACCTAACTTCTTGATATATGAGTGTCAAAAAAAAAAAAAAATTGCACAAATATCAATGATACTCAAAATCACTTTATAAGGCTTCTCTAAAGTAGAAAAAAATCCTTTCACACGCGTTCAAAGCATCATCAACTCTGAAGCAAGAATGAAGAACAGCATGCAAAGGACACTGACACGAAATAACTTTCATTCAACAAAATATGTGCTTCAAATTTCAGCACGAGTATCAATAACAATATTTTTTTTTTTGTTATTATTATTATAAATATTGGATGAGGATGTGCTTCATTCATATTCTGATCTCTGATCTACAGGTAACAACAATAAAAAATATCAATTTCAGTTGGTACGTTCGTGTCGACAAGGAATATTCTATAAAAATTATGAAAGTAAACTAAGTTGATGGTAGAGGAGAATTGTTTAAAAAAAGATCCTTGTTTTGAAAATTTTCGAAAAGAAGAAACTCAATTTAATAATTACTCTACAATCAACATTTTATTTCTATAGCCAATAAATATTGGCTGTGGAGGTCTGCGGAATTACTGTCCAGTGTCGAGGTGAAACCATTTGTTTTAATCAATTTATAATTTTTCCAAAATTTGTGAGTGGACCAATTGGTTCCATCTTCGGTCTAGATATAGACCGGTGATGAATTCGACTAGAACTTTCAGCACATGTGGTGTATATAGAAAATGTTCTGTGAGCGTTTGCATGGAACTTTCAGTAAAAATGTTTTTCTCCCCAAAAAAAAAAAAAAAAGAAAAAGGGCAAGACTGCCAAAGCTCACCATACATTTATCATATCCATCAACAGACCACCGGACTTTTGAACGCCGTAATTTTCATAACATTCCCATGGTTAAGAAAAATTGGCAAAAATTCAGAAATTTCACCAAGGAAGGAAGCAGGGTCGGACGTGTGTCTCATTTAACGGCGTTGAGGTGACAGATTCGGAGAGTTGCGTGAATTGTTTTATCCGGTAGTTAGAAGAGCACCCCGAGAGTGAGAGGGCGAAGAGAATGGTATTATTGCCGTATACGATCTCTCCCAGTGAAGAAGGAACCACCACAATTTTCGTTGGAGGATATTGCTCATGCCATCAGAAGCGCAAAATCATCCAAGCCACTTGGTCCGGATGGAATCTCAAAGATGATGTTGTAGCAGCTTGATTTGACAGGAAATGAGTATCTAACTAAAGATCTTAACTTGTCGTTAGCCACCTTAATAGTTCCCCATGCCCGAAAAATTAACAGGGTGGTCCCGCTGCTGAAGCCAGGCAAGGATGCCAGCAAAGGTGAGTCATACCGGCCGATCTCACTTTTGTTGCTAAAGCACTTGAGTCATTGCCCTAGCATTCCTGAATGTTACTCAATTGCTGATCATCGACATGGATTCCGGAAGCAGCACAGCACAACAAAAGCTTTGCACGCCATTTCCATGCATATAACGCAAGGACTCATCCAGAACAGGCCGTGTAATAAGACAGTTATGGTGTCGCTGGAACTATCAAAGGGATTTGATAGCGTCAGTCGCACCAATCTGTTCGAGGACATCGAGGGAACAACCCTCCAGCCAAGTTTGAGAGAGAGTTCCACGCCTATCGGATACCATAAAGATCGTAACGTAGGCGGATAATTGATAACATTTGCAAGAGGCTGGACCACTATTTCGTGGATATAGCGGACTTTTCCCGGGCGATATGGAAATATCCGCCACTAAATCAACGGCCACACTGTTTACCACATGGACACCGGAGATTCGGCTACCTTTGAATCTGCCGGTCGATGGGTCCACAATTCCGACCACAAATTACCCCAAGTTCTAGGGGTCACATTCGATAGCCTTTGTAAGTCGTCCGCGCGTACCACTGCTATTTGCGATAAAATCCGGAGCAGGAACAGGGTTATCAAGTGGCTAGCCGGTATGTGGTGAACTATGCGGCGCCAATGTGGTCCGGCAACGTTTGTGCAACGCAATGGAAAAGTCTTAAATCCTGTCAGAATACCGTCCTGAGGACTGCAACAGGGTTTCTTTTCATAACTCCTATAGACCACTTACATGAGCACACGAAGATCATTCCTGTACACCAGCACAACCAGGTGTTGTCGATGCAATACCAGATTGGGTGTTGTAGAAGTAGCCATCCAAATCATCACCTTATGGATAGGCACCCACCACCTGGACATGTCAGTAAAGATCTTCATGATCTGGACAGAAAGGTCCAAATGTACAAAATATCTAGATCAACAGGCATATCAAGGAGGATTGAATCGTATTCACTCGGATACAGTTGATAATTTTAGAAATTTTTCTAGAAAACCAAGATTTGTATCAGAGCCTAAAGTGGACCTAAACCACTTTCAAAATTAACGACTCATTTAATGTAAAATCCGACGAATATTTTAAGGTGTTGCCAAGGGAATTATTATATTTATATATCAGTTTAAACTATCCCTATGCCCCACCATCAAAACCTAATTCTGCCTAGGTGTTGTTAACATATTGATTCAAAAATTTTTTGAAGGCTTAGGAGGGGATCGTATTCCTTACTATCGAAAAAATAAGAAATAAAATGATACTTACCTAACTCATTTGGAAACTGTTGATGGGCCTGCAGAATTGATCGCTCCAACCAGGCCAAATCTTGATGTAAAACATTGTTATTATTGTTGTTGTTACCGCTGCTACTTCCCGAATTATTGTTGCCATTACTATTCGCATTGTTGTTGCCATTTGTTGTCGCTGCTGCTGATGTTGTTGTATTTGCCGCCGTACTATTGCTGGTATTACTATTCGCCGTACCATTACTGGCCGCACCATTTGGCGAATTACTGCCCACACTGGCTGAACTACTGGCCACTATGGTGTCCGATGCCATTGATGCTGGACCTTCGGAATTCCAAAGTGTGTGCGTTGCTGCAGAATGACCCAAAGATGTGTGACCACTATGGCTATGAGGCGGCGGGTGTTGGTGGGTGGTATGGTGGCTATGATGATGATTGTTATTATTGTTGTGCTGCGTATGTCCTTGAACACTGTGCGAATGCGAGTGATGATGATGCGAATGGTGCAGATGATTGTGATGATGATGGTGGTGGTGGTGTGGATGTTGTAGTTGTTGTTGCTGGAGCAATGTTGTTGTCGCCGTGCCAGGAGATACTGAAGAAATCACCATGTTGCCAGTGATATTATCCAAGGGTGAAATATTGGTGGTAGCACCGGCAGCTGATTCAATGATGCTACCACCACCACTGCCGCCTAACAAAAGTGGTGCTGTGGCAACAGCCGCCGCTATGGACGACGATGATGAGGATAAACTGGATGCTGTGTAAGCTGTTGCAGCGACCTGTTGACTACCACCGGCCGCCAATGATGTCAAATGCATTCGCAAGGGGTATACTGAATTTCGGGGAGCTATTTTGGCGGTTTAGCTGTTCTTTTTCGATACACAATATTTTTTTTAATCTTATGAATTGTTGTTGTATTCCGGGGTTTTTGGTTCTTTTTTAATTTTGTTTCTGGGAATTTTTGTATTTTATTTTAATTTATTTTTGTAGTTTATTTAATTGTTGCTATTTTAAAAGAATTTTTGTTTGTTTATTGTTGTTGTATTCCTTTTTGTATTTTTTTTTCTTGGAAATATTTTTTTTCTAATCTCGGCTATTTTGGCGTACGACTACCATTTATGATTTGGAATTCTTTAAGTGATTGCTAATTTTTAGTATGAAACACACGCACAAATACACTTGCACTGCTATGTGATAAAAAAAGACATAATTATTATAGTAATTCTAGTCAGAAGTTTTTACATAATAATTCTATACAATTTTGAATTCAGTACGAAGTTGTTGGGCATACAAAGGTCATTAAAAATCCACGCCTAAAGGCCTGTTGCTCTTTCAAAAAATATTCTTTAAATATCCACGCCTAAAGGCCTGTTACTCTTTCAAGAAATATTCTTTAAAAATCCACGCCTAAAGGCCTGTTGCTCTTTCAAGAAATAGTCTTTAAAAATCCACACCTAAAGGCCTGTAGGCCCTTCAGAAAATATTCTTTAAAAATCCACACCTAAAGGCCTGTAGGCCCTTCAGAAAATATTCTTTAAAAATCCACGCCTAAAGGCCTGTTGGCCCTTGATCGAACAACTATGTGTATGAATTTAAAAATCAATGAAAATGTGCCTCGGAACTTCAAAAATTATCGATGGTGTTCAATGTCGCTAATTTTGAATAGTGAAAAGAGTATTTTAAACTCCACGGCTCTATAATTAAATTTTACTGGATGTTTCACATATCTGATTTATTTTAAAGTTGGGACAAATTTACAACTTTGGAAAATGATCTCCTTTAAGAGAGGATACCAAAAGGGGACAGATTTTTCTTAAGGTAAATCTTGTAAGCTGTGCATCCTGAGTCCCATGCACAAAAAAGGAGACAAGAGGAATTAGTCTCCTTCTCGTCGCATATAAAGTGCTATCCAGTGTGGTGTGTAAACAACTGAAGCCAATGGCCTATGACATTATTGGACCATACCAATGCGGCTTCAGACCTGACAAATTCATCATAGACTATAATTTCACACTGCGCCAAGTACTGAAAAAGAACATCGACACATTCCTCCTATTCGTCGACTATAAATCCGTATTCGACAGTCAAATCCGCTTAAAGCCATGTATGCGTTTGGCATTCCAGCAAAATTAATACGGCTATGTAAAGTAACTTTAACTGGCACAAAGTCAGCAGTTAAAGACTCTCGGAGCCCTTCTATGCCGAATGAGGATTGAGATAAGGTGACAGTTTGTCATGTGATCTTATTCGAATTGGGAAGGAGTCTGCCAAAGTGGGACTGTCAACGCGCAAGACGTCCAGTAGACTCGAATCAACTGTGGAACTTGAAAACCACAGCTTCGAGGTAGTGAACGATCAGCTTTGAACTTCGGAGAAGAATAGTGTTGGCCAACAGATGTTACTATGGTCTGAGTAAGCAACTCAAAAGCAAGGCCACCTCTCGCCAGACCTAACCTACGCTCTGCAAAACGCTCATATTACCCGTGTTATTGTATGAATCTGAAGCATGGGTACTTGCGCAAGCAGATGAGGCAGCTCTTGGAGTGTTTTAGAGAAAAAATTTCCGGAAGATCTATAGGACGATGGTGAATATCGTCGTCGAATAAACCATGAGCTGTACCATATATTTTCGGACATCGACGGATCGATCTGCAGCGACTACTTCGGCTATGATGAGGATGGCCCAGCTCAACAGGCATATAAAAGCGAGCCAAGTAATGGTTCACACAGAAGGGGAAGATCACGATTTCGATGGAAAGATCAAGAAGAATACAACATCCCGGAAAATGGTCCTTCAAATTGGATGAGCTGCGCACAAGATCGACGAGCTTGGAAATCTTTTTTAAACTCGTATGGAACTGGCTTATGGAACACCCACCCGTTCTGTTACAAGCCAGCTATGCAAATAAGAATGTCTTAGAGAGGAGGATAATATAAATTGATGAGCCCCCCCTGAGACAAATTTCTCGACTAGCTGAGACAAAATTGCTATGTGTGTCCATCCATCCGAAAAAACCTATCGATTTTGGTAATTATCGGTAGAAAAACTTAATTGTTCTGTTTTTCTAGTCGCTCTAAAAGCCACAATTATGAACCGAAAATTACGAAATGTTCCTCGAAGACGGGAATAAGTATAGCTTTTTATGACAATCGGTCATAATTTAGCAGAACAAATAGACCAAAAACTGTTCTATGTTGTCTGAGCCCCCCTTTAGTATACCGATCATCCGATCATCATCGACAAGCTGAGTCGAAATTGCTATGTGTGTCCATCTGTCATATGGATGGACACATATAGCAATTTCGACTCAGTTAGTCAATGATGATCGGATGATTGGTATACTAAAGTGGTGCTCAGACAACATAGAACGATTTTGGTAATTATCGGTGCAATAACTTTATTGTTATATTTTTTAGTCGCTCTGGAAGCCACAAGTATGAACCGAAAATCACGAAATTTTCCTCCAGAAGGGAATTTTTATAGCTTTTTTATGATAATCTGTCATAATTTAGCAGATCAAATAGACTTGTTTTGTGTGGAAAATTATAACATTTTGAAATAATAGCTTATATCTCCGGAAGGACATAATCCGTATAAGTTCCCGGCGTATCGAAGAGGGGTTGTTAACCTTTAAATTGATACCAAGTCAATATTAATTTTAATATTATGGCACTTTCAAATATGATGTCTAAATGATGATCGATTTAAAAACTTATAAAATTTTCATTCTATGCCGTCAAAACTATTAAAAATCACTTTTTTTGTAATTTTCTCTAAATTGTATATAGATCGACAGACTTGGATTATTTCTATAAATTATAGAAACAATTTGTGATTCCATTTTCATGTTGATTATTTTGTTTTCAAATTGAATTTTGACACTTCTTTATAAATTAAACTCCCAAAACGCTGCCTAGCAAAATATCTGGTTTTGCGTAGCCCCCCCACCTAAACCTGACAACAGTTGGCAGTTTCGATGGAGAGAAATAACGAACGACGCATCATCAAAACCAAAAATTCAATGAGTCATTCCAATATTTCAGTTAGTAGTTCCGAAATCACTTTCGATTTGGCCCTCTTTTTTGATCGCGTTGTGAGTTTTTGTTTTGACCAAAACAAAACAAAACCGACATGAATGGAATCGAATGAATGAAACACGTTAATGTGTCTTTTGATGGTTTTTGTTGTTGCTGATTTTTTTAATTTCTCAAAATCGTATTCGTAATTCGCAAAAAAAAAAAGAAGACAACAACGTCACTTCTTTGATGATATTGTTAATGGTGGAGTTGTGAGCGTATTTTAATGAGTTCGCGGAAAGATCACTGAAGCTCTTATTTTTGGGGGGAGGGGAAATTTTTTGTCAACGGTAAAGAGAAGATCGATCGACCGGTTCAATTTTCGGTAGAATTTTTAATATAGGTTGTCGTTGTTGTTATTGATATGGATATTTTTACAATGTTGTGTGCTGAGCGATTTTTATGCTGAGAAGAAGAATTTGGTTTTTGTTTTTATTGATCATATGGTTTTTGTTTTGATTTTGTTCGATTTTAACCAAAGGTCGTTTGTTTGATAAAGCAAAATATTTAGTTTCTCTTCGTCTCTCTAAAGGTCATTGCATGGAAATTCCATATTAAAAAATTGATGATTAAAAATATGGGTTTTGATTTAACGGCGGCATTATTTGTTATTATTTTTTATATTGATTTTTATAGATTTTTTTTTTAATTTTTTTCACTTCTTAAAATATTTTTTTATTCACAATTTTTGTAGTAAAACAATTTTAGTTTATTTTATTTGAATGTATTTTTTTTTATTTTAGTGTATTTATTTTCTTTTTAATTTTTTAACACTTTTCAAAATATTTTTTTATTTTTATAACATTTATTATTTTTTTCACAAAATTTCTTACATTTTTTTTATTTCAAAAACATTTTTGTTTTTTTTTAATTTATTAACATTATTTTATATATTTTTTATTTTATTAAAAAATGTTTAACTCTGACGAACGTATTTTTACTAGGCAAGTGCTCACGCGCGCCGCATTAATGTTACTGGCACTTAATGTGGTCACCAGCATCGGTTTAACCAGAGTCACAGCCACAGAACCACAATGTACGACGTACCAAAACACAGCCATTCACACACACACATGGACACCCCCACACAACACAGCAAGTTAGTTACTCATTTAATCCAAAAGAAAAGAGAGAAGCTCTGGCCCGTTGTGTTCTTTTCCAATGGATAAACAAACAAAAAAGTAATGCAAAAAAATCTACTAACAGAACCCCTCTTGAATAGTAACAACAAAAAGAACAACAACAATGCCAGTCATTTATTTGTTGGTGGGCGCGCACATACGCACACACACACACTTCGACTAGAGTAGCACAATAGCATTTGATAAGAAGGCATTTTGCTTGCCTAATCCGTTATGCCCACAAAATAACTGAACTCTCTTTGCTCAATTATTTTCATAATCTCTTTCTAGCACTTCCTCTCTCTCTCTCTTTATATATGAAAGCTATTGCTCCACCATACAATTTGTTGTCATTTGCATGAATTTCAATTTGTACCGTTGCATTTTTGTGTGTGTGCCATTTGCTCCACCACTCTCTTAGCCACGTTCCGGCTCTTATACTCTTTTATTCGCAATGAGTGACTGACTCAGTTAGTGTTTGGTTGGTTTTGGTAAAATACCCATGGACATTTTTTATTGCATTCGTACGTTTGTTTTTGTTTGTTGATATAAAAACCCTCTTAAAATATATATTTGTTTTATGCAAATATAGTCGATTTTTATGCATTTGAAAAAAGTGT